TTATTATTTTGTGAGTAACTTCATTTTATTTGAATTAAGTCTGAATTTCATAACGGAATGTGCACTTTATTTTAACAGTACATCTTTATTTTTGTCCTATGTTTGAGAAAAAACTTCATTTTATGGAGTTCTTTGAAGTACTGTTTACTGTTCTGTAGTTTTGTAATTTTTTTTTTTACAATTTTTTCATAATTATTGGCCGGAATTTAAACCAGGATATCTTTATTCTAGTTTTTTAAAAGTGCTTTAAAAAAATAATAATAAAAAAAATTTATTGTATAAGCAAGTTTTTTTTTTTACATTATTGCACATTTGCATTTTTTAAAATGCCCAAATAAAATAAAAAGATAAAATATGTGATTAATTTGCGATTAATCTTGAGTTAACTGTTGATATTATGCGATTAATCGCGATTAAAATTTGTAATAGTTTGACAGCACTAATATATAATATATACCGGTAATATATATATATATATATATATATATATATATATATACAGACACAAAACATATACAAATATATATATTTGTATGTTATGTTATATATGATTTATAGACTTCATACTGACTATGCAATGTGATGTGCCTATTTTCAACCATAAATTACAGGAATCTACTGATACTATGAAACACCAAGTGTGTCTCAAAGTGAGGACTTTATCTTTGTTTTGAAAGTCTTAATTCCCCCTGAAAATGAGAACATCATCGTTGTTCGATGCTGAAGTGCACAGATTGTTTACATTGCAACCAGTCTAACTAGGGAGTACCAATATGGCGGCATGTGGCTTCACTCCACCACTACCACCACCAATGGCCTATCAGCAATGCAGTGAATAAATAGAGATCAGTTGCATTCTTACTCATTATTGGAATACTGCAGCCCACCAGCAGAGGGCTCTCTGATGCCTGTTTTTGCACTTATTGTTCAGCTCATGCATATTATTGTTCAGATAAGCTCTAACATTAGATCTAATACTGTCTATTTAAATGTATTAAAGGTGCAAACATGGAAGTTTTCAACTTGTGACTGATACTATTTAGGCCCATTGCTGTATTCCTCTAAATAGTCTATTTTTGCACTATTATATAGATAAAAAAGTTCCCCTTGTACATTTTTGTTATACAGGTTCATAACCTGGATGTATTATGTTCCCATAACTGTATAGTTTTTTTCTATAGTTGTATTTTGTCTGTATAAACTCCTTGAATAAATGCTTCAATTGGTAAAAAAGTAACTGAATTATGTTTACCCAGCTTCATTTATTAACAATAGTTTAACAATTCAGAAACTACATAAATCAAGCTGGGTAAACTTGAATAAATCAGTTGTTACCAATCAAAGTTGGATTCCACAGTCTGTATTTGTTTATAATTATTACGTTTTTTCAATGTCTGGCTTCTTATTCCAGGTCTATTCTATTCTGCCGAAATTGTACATCATTAGTTTTATCTTAAGTACCCGTATGGTTTTTGCCTTGTGTTCCCATTAAAAAAAGGAACTGGTTCAAAATAAACTGAAATGCATTTAATTGAATTAAACTAATTAAAGCATATTGAGAAAAGTTTTAGCTGAATTGATCAGGAGGGATTTAAATCATGAGAAAATGATCCAAACTAAACTGAACTGAAGAAAATTGAACTTAACTGTAAATAACAAAGGGATTTTAATAGAACCAAATTAAAGTGAAATGAATTCAATTGGACAGAAATAAAATTAAATCCACATTCTTACTTGATTTAATACCAAACTTGACTCAAACTGAGCCGAAGAAAATAAACTTGCTTTCATTGGCTAAACTGGAGTTAAGAAAGAAAAACGTTTGCATTTCTAGTATCAACAAGTGCTGTACAAGAGAAAAAAACATCAATAAAAAAAACGTCATATTAAAAAAAGAGATTAAACTGAACTTTATCCAAAGAAACCTGAATTAAGTGAAGCTAATCAAATTAAACTGAGCAGAACTAAAGTGAAAAAAACTGCATTTTATTGCACTGAAGTGTGTGGTCAGAAAATGTAGGTATCTTTCTTCTATCATATATTAATTTATCCTATTTACTCACTATAAAAGTTTTCACTCAGTCTGTGTCACCTTCAAGGTCACACCATTCTCTGTAGGATGGTGTTTGTAGACCAGACATTGCCTCTTCCCATAACAAATCAGATTCTTTGTCAAGGTTTATTCATAACATGTTACTGTTTAACTGTGTGTAATTTGTTTTGACTCTGATTACTTTCCATTATTGTAAGTAGGGGGGAACGGACTCTGCCCGGGCAGAACGGGGCTGAATACAGAGCAGTAAGGGCTGTATGATGAGATGTTCACTCTTTGCAAAGATATAAAATAAAGAGCTGACTGAGTGAAATCCATCAATATCCGTTCATTTAACTGGGATTAATGGTTGAATGCTTTTTTCCCACTATAGTGCACAGAAACTAATCTCTCACTAGATAACTAAATGTGACATGGTGGACTTATTGATGATGATGATGATGATGATGATGATGACAGGAATTTTCCTCACTATGTCATCAGTAAAGAGACATAGAGGGGCTGATTGTTACTGCATCTGATCACATGGCTAAAAGGATTTTAACTTAGGTTTTTTTTTTTTTGTTTTTTTTTACATCCTCCCCTGATGAATTATTTCTGACCTATAGATGTGCCTCTCTGGTTTGTGAAGTAGCCTACATCTTTCAGTTTCTATGTCCCTTGTCATATCTACACGTGTAAACTTCCTGCAGACATTCTCAGAATAACAGCTTGGTTTCCTGACGTGTCACTGTGCATATTTCCAAGCATATCAAGGCAGCAGTAGCTGACCTCCTTCTGCACTCATTTATTCATTTTCTCTGTGGTCCGGAGCTTTCATCGCGCCTCCTGAAGGGGTGTCTAGAACTGAGGTGTGGGTTTTTTTTTTTTTACTTGTTAGTTGAAAGCAGAAGTATCGCAGACAAAGAGGTTGAAGACTGTTTGCTGGCCCGCAGCCTTTGTTCACCATGGCAGTGGCTCTGCCGGCATGTTACCACGGCGCCATGTCCAAGAGGGAGTGTGAGGAGCTGCTGGGGAGAAAGAACAAGGATGGAGCCTACCTGATCCGAGAGAGCGAGAGCATCCAGGGTGCCTTGTGTCTGTGTGTCTAGTGAGTACCAATCTAAACCAGATGTTTCTATTAAATTACCCAACAAACTAGTGGAAATGACTGAACTGATATAACAGTGCAGTATAGTCAAAGTGAACAACTGGAAGCAGAAAGCTGAGCTGCAGTGTGTTGGTTCTGATGTTTCGGTACCAGTATGGTGGTGGATCAAACAGCGAGTGCGTCTGAAACACACCCTCTCGGCTCCCCTCACTGTCCTCTGCAGGGCCTCGGTGTTAACTAGCTGTGAAAACATCAGCTAATGTGTTAGAAATGCAGAGGTTAGACCAAAGAAAACTTTCAGCCTGAAGATTGCTTCTTAATGTCTTGATTTTTATATTGAAATTGAACTTAAGCTTGAAACTAAAACAAATTGGTGCATTCTAGTAACTCTGCGCCCCCCTGGCTGCCTAAATCAGTTAAAATTATAAATATTTTACTAAGTTTTGAATAACTGGCCCCTTCTATAGCACTTCTCTTTGTGTGGTTTTAGACCATCAAACAAAGAATTTTTTTTAACAATTACCTGACTTAATGCAAAAAGTAGCTTTAAAATTACAAATTCATTTGTTGAGTGGAAACAAACCTTTCCAAACCTGCCTCTCCCATTGGGAAACAGTAATGACCCCCTAAACCAGGGCTCTGTAGCCTGCAGACAAGCGGCTCTTTGGGCCTTCTGGAGCAGCTTTTGTTTACTTTGGATAAAAACCGAAAACATCAGTTGAGGAATGTTAAACATAGGCATAAAAACACAGTTTAAACTGTCATCTGATTTACACTGATAAGTACCAGTACCACTTTCCTGGTCATTAGTTTGGTACTCTGCTTTTAAAAAAAAATTTGCTCCCAAACATGTTGAGATCTTATAGAGGAAAATGCATCTACCCTCTTTTTGCAGATGTCTCGCTTTTCTGTTGTTTAAAACCTAAAATGAATAGATTGTGGCTCTTTGTGACACATTTCCTGTGGTAGATTTTTTGGAAAAACTCTGAAGGTTGCAGCCCCCCGTCTAGCAGTTGATATCAATTACTGCCGCTGAGTTGTTTACATCAGTGTGGAGGGATTTAGGGTTAGTATTTGCTGATTTCAGTCACGCTAAACCATTTTACATTATGGCTGTCTTGTCAATAGACTTTAAAACCTTCAGCCTTTTATCTGATCAGGGGGGCACTCGTATATGTGCTTTCGGTCAATGTCTGGCTGCATAATGCATGAGCTTGAGGTTGCAAAGTCATAGCAACTCATCCTTATCTTACCACAGCAAAAAGACCCAACACCATCACACTAGTCCACCAACCTGTTAGATTATCAAAATAAACATCTGGGTGTTGCATTTGTTAAAAATTATTTCTCCATGCTGTGTCTCTGACAAACACCCTTCAACCTGAGAATGCAGCAACAAAACAAGCATATTAGCACCATTGCAACTTGCATTTCTTTAAATAAAATAAAAAGTTTATTGTTTTGCATGTGTTAAATTCACATTTAACAACATGGTGACTCATCCAGTGAAGCAGCAACACTTCACCCAGCTTGACTGCTGTTGGTAGTCAGAGCCCAGATTGTGCGTACGATAGCTTCACTTTGATCTGCAGCTACTATTTAGCTCAGAGCCATCAGTGTGTGAATCTGTGTTGAAATGAGGTTTGAGCACTACGAGGAAAAGTAGGAGCAGTTTCACTGTAATTGTTCTAATGTATTTGCCCTCGTCAAGCTCCTATAACCTATATGCATAGCACAGTATACTGTAAATTATTCAGCAAATTATTTATCTCTTACCTAAAAAAAAGGACTCAAATATAAAGATGTACGCTAATTTATCTTATTTTAGGTGTTAAAGGTTCATAGTTACGTTATGTTCCTATATAAATAAAAAGCAAAATCCAGTTGATTGTGATAAAGTAAGGCTGTACACTGGAAAAACTACCTAGAAACAAGTAAAAATTTCTTAAATTAAGTGTATTTACCCTTAATCTGAGCAGGTTTTCTCATCCCATTGACATAGTGGCCATTAATGCAGCTACTAAATAAGTTCCACCGTCTCCATTGCATCAACCATTGTTGACCAAAGCTATCTATGCATGTGCAGTGAAATTGGTTGATAAGATATTGAAAAGACGACATGATTTCTATCCGAACAACGTATACATTTGGTTTAAGTGGAAGTTTTTTGTTGTGATAAAGTTGTAAAAAATCAGACCGACTACACACAGCTCAATTTTCAACAAGTATTTTAGGACTAAATCGAGACTATGACGGGCCGTCCAGATTTAGCCTGAAAACCAACATTTAAATGATGTCTTGTGTTTGGGGGCATGATGTTGTTATGGTAAATATACTCAGAAAGGCTATGGCTTAATCGGAATACCTCAAACTATTGTTCCTAGCTGCTACTCCTTCAAACTCATCCAGTGAAGGAAAGGAGCTACGGACTGTTCTGATGAATCCAAACAAGCCACGGCCTCACAGATGTTATTATAAGACAGACATACAGATGAATGGCACTCAAATTAGGTCTACAGGCTGACAGCGTAGAAACAAGAGTTGCACAAATGTAGTAAACTGTTGTATTTTTGTCACACTCTGAGGTGGCTGTGCCTATAAAATCTGTCACCAAATTACGGTGGTCAAATGTGTAGCTCCTAGTAACAGCGAGCGAGGTCAGGAGGTCTCTATGCAAAATGCATTACTAAGCATTCTGCACCCTGGTACTAGTGCCTTCCTCAACTATCAGCACTATGGCACTATTATTTAGTGGCTCAAATGATTCGCTGTTTTTGGATTTACCCTATATTTACTGAATAAATGAACAAAATCAAGCTTAAAAGAAAAAACAAAAGCAAATACTACACAGGCAGGACGCTGCAATCTGTCATAAAAACACTGCATGCAACCAGACTGAGTTACTGATTTATGCATTTAAAAAATGTCCAATAACGCGATTATGTTTTAATGCCTCACTCTAAGTGCCAAATTTTATAGTCAACTAATTTTTTCAAGAATAAATTTTGTGTCATTAATGGATAACTTTAACTGATCGGATCTATTTTCTTAAAAGAAAACATATTAAAACAATATTTTAAATGGAAGTATCCGAATACTTTATTTTAATGTTTTTGAAACACTAGTATTTGCAAACACTTATATTTTATGTAACTTTACATAACTTCTAAATTCTACGATCACGCTGCAAAAAGTTATATCTGGTCAAAAAGCATTTTTGGTTAGTGCGCACAACCCACATATGGAGGCCTTAGTCCTCGACGGGGCTGACCCGGGTTCGAATCTGACCTGCGGCCCTTCCCGCATGTCTCCCCCCCCTCTCTACCCCCCTTCCTGTCAGCTTACTATCGAAAGAAACAAGCCACTAGTGCTGTAAAAAAAAAAAAATAAATTTTTATCTAATTTTGAGGGTTTTTCTTTAAGTAAGAGCAAATTCTGTTACGTTATTAATCTTCTTTTTTAATAAAATTCTGCCCAGAATAATTCCTATAATCTGTCAGTGCAGTAAGACAGTTGCACTTCGCAAGATGTTTTAAAATCCTGATATAATCTTAGAGCAAGAAGTCTAGCACCATGTTTTTCTCCCACAATGTTTACATTTGATCACTGCAAATGGAAATGTCATGAGAGCTGTACAAAAACGAAATTTCAAAAAGTTGTCTAAGTCTGTGAAAGTGCTGTTTTGCCACACGGGCAGATTAGTGCATCTATTTCTGGGTAAGATTTTCTTTAGATTATTTCTTAAAATTATTTATTTCACAGAATCTTGTTTTTAGTTTATGAAGCACAAACATCCTCATATTTTTTCACAGGTAAAAACTAAAAGGTAGCCATCAAATAAATTACTGAAGTAGTGTTTAAAAGCCTACTTAGGTACGGAGTTACTGATCTACTGCCTATTAATGCACGGTAAAAAGTCTCATTTTAACGAGTCTTACAATCTTATATTTGGCAAATATGTTTTAGTGCTACTTTTATGGAAGAAAGTACGAATTTCTGGGTTCTCTACAACCCTTAGTGAACAGATACAAGCCATTTCTCTAATGTCTCTACATTTGATATCTGTACCCTGCGAAAGTGTAAAGCCGAAATCAATTTTCTTTCTTTTTGCACGCACAGTTTTTGGCCAATAAAGCTGATTCTGTCGGCATGAGACGGCTGGTTTATAGAAGTCTGTGGAAATATAAGACGAGCCTTGGTGTTTCAGTTGCCCTGTTTCTCTTTCTTTTTGATCATTCTTATCTGATGCTTCTGAGGTCTGCAGAGCTTTAGCTGTTTTTTCTGCACCGTAAATAAAAATAATGTGGTCATTTTCTGCCAGAACCTTTTCTGTTTTTTATGGATTTTTCTGTTTTAAAAAAAAATCTGTTTCTTTACAGAATTTTGTTTTCTCTCAATGTTTCTCTAATGTAAATTACTCTAAAATGTTGCGCATTGTCATCAGTAAAGTTGACAGAACTCTCTTACCCAAACGGCTCTGAAAGATCTGTAAAAACAAATTATGGAAAAAGTCCTTCAAATAAAAACAGTACTTTATACTGTGAATTAATGGACATTTCTTACAGTGTGGCTTCTACTAAGGTCCTGGAGTAATCAAAGAGAAATACATGTTTTAATAGGAGCACCAGGAATATTTTAAATGTATACTGAATGAGCGTATAGTGTGAGAACTGCTCTTCGTACTCTGGCTGCCTTGGTTGATTCTAAAAATAGTTTGATGATCTGAAACTTTTTAGCAGAAATAGATCTGATGTGAGAGAGAAGTAGCCCACTTTAAAAAGCAGGATCTTTGTTTTCTAGGTTTCATGCATAGCTAGATAGCAACAAAATCTAAGTTAAATGTCTCTGAGTCTGTTTCTGTTGTGGTCCTTTGAGTTTTCAGTTATCAAAGTAATTCACTTTCGTTAATCTTTGGTTTATTTTCCATTTTGTGTTATATTTAGGTCACATTTACACATAGCGTTTCTGTTGTGGTCCTTTGAGTTTTCAGTTGTCTAAGT